GTATTATTTATTATTCTTATTACAAAATATTAAAAACTGTAATAATATAAAAAGAATTGTTCATGTTTTATATATCTTTTAATGCTTGGGCAAAATTTAATGCTATTTTATTTAGTAATTGCGTTCTTCAATAATTTCTTTTATGGAACTCAAATGGCTGAATCGAAATGAAACGCTATTTATAATTGCCAATAATATATTTTAGTAATAATGATAGTTGTTAAAAGTTGTAGAATTGGAGCTTGTAAAGCTTTTCAAAAATGGAAACTTAACCTTTGTTGAACAGAAACAAATGAAGACTCGCACTACTATTGATTAAAGAAACAGCCGAGTTTATTGTTTAAAATTAACTAACTAAATTTCCCTTGCTATACTTTTTGTTTCTCTTATCTACACTGATAAAAAAGTTGCATAGTACAGATGAATATTTTCATATTGAATTTAATGTTCTACTATTTCATATTCAAATCAAATATAAACATCGTAAATTTCACAAAAAACATATTCAATTAGTTATTTTATTATGAATAATATTCAAAACAAAGTGTAAAACTTCGTTATGAAAGTGTGTCATATTCAATTTAATGTTGAACCACAGTGAATATTAATATTCACTTCAAAAAACAAATATGTAGTTAAAATTATAATATTTTGCTCAACTTGAATTTGAAGTTTTTTGTAGTCGATTTAAATATACTAGAAATATATTAAATTGCAATTGACTAGAATTCTCAAGTCGGATTTCAGCCGTTGTGGGGTATAAATACAAAGGTATGTGTCAAGTAAGTGTTATTCAATCCACTGCTCCTCGCTTTTAATATTAATATTGATCCAAACTATATCCGTGCTTAAAAGGCATAAGAAACATCAAGAGAATTAATTCATGATAGCAAAAGAATTTTAAAATTACTTTCTGCTAAAAATGGTTATATAGAAAAAAATTATATATACACAAGTATATAAATAAAATATGCATCATGGAAATGTCAAAAATGGAATTATAATTAATTATAAAAATAAACCTTTGGCGTGAATCGAACCCACGTCTCCACATCATCACTTGTGATTTAATATCATCACACTTTAAATATAATATTTTAATTTTAAATTTAAAATTTAAGTGTGCACTTTTTATATTTACTAAAAACACGCTGGAGCAAAATCGATGGCAAAAATAGTTGAATCTACGTTTAAATATTGAAATTTCCATGGTTTTTTTATCAGTGTACTATAGCCTGTGTTGTGGAGGGGCCTAGAATATGTTTCAATGAAGGGAACACCGCTTTACTTCTGCTGTGTCATCGGAAACACGAGCTCAGCTAGTCCGACCCCTTCCTTTCAGGTTCATTGGGCTTAAGAACCCATTTACTTCATTGAATTACTCCCCCAATGGGAGAATCGTGCGCCTCGGCATGTACTTCAGAGATTAGCAGAGCACTTCGTCCTTCACCAAGAAGGTGCTGCATTTCCGATTAATATGCACCCAGAATTGGCAGCAAAGGCTCCCAATGGACGTTAGTTGAACCCAAACCTTGCCCCTAATTGTAACCAAGAGAATAGGTTTTGTCAAAGGCGGAAATTGCGTTTGCTCTTAATGTTTAATTAGTTGTTAGGTAGAATTAATTTTCCCCCTTTATTTACTATTTTTTTGTCTCTGAACATAGCTGGCCAACTGGCAAATAAAATAGACGTTATTGTTCAGTTTATTCTTAGACTTTTCTATCTTTTAAGTTGAAATTATAATGTTGTGTATTTTATTTTATAATAAAATATAAATCATAGCTTTTCAATATGTATCGACAGCACTATTTGTTGATTTATGAAATAAAATACAAATAAAAGTAAAATGTTCTCGCAAATATAAGGAAATGAGAAAATATAGAGAAATTTGCGTGCAACACATTTAAACAAAAGGCCTAATCAGCAGCAAGAGTCGGCCTATATAAGCGAAATAAATAACTCTTCAGCATGAGCACGTGTTGAGAGTGAGAGTCCTTAATGGCAGCTCCTTTCTATATTCATTTAAGCAAACAAGGACAATTTCATGCTTCGGCTAAAATGTCAAAAAATGTCCCTCTATCTCACTCTCTCTCCATCTCAATGAAGCGAATTTGTTGCGTAAATTCGATTGTTTCATTTGGAAGGACAACAAAAACAACAACGGCGACAAATTGCAATGAGAAGTGCCAGTAGGACTGCAAGTGTTTGTAGTTGCTGTCCAAAACTTTGTGCCAGCTCTAATTAGCGGACTAAAGATATTCAGCACTCAACGTAATTAAATGGAATTTTAAGCGCCGCAGCATGCGCACAAATTAAGCCATGAACAGCCGGCTACGGCTACTGCTACGGCTCCGGGTCCGACTCGGACTCGGAGACTTAGACTCGCCTGCGAGTGCAGGAGCATCTTTAATTACACAACTGGTGGCGTGCTGCCGCTCTCCAGATAGGAAACAGTTGTGGAACCTCATTCTGACAACAGCAGAGCAGAGACTCGCAACTGCAGCGAAGATGACGGCAAAGTTTTTGGTAAACGGCAAAACTTGGCCGCACAAATTAATCATAACTTTCGGGCTGCATTCTGCATTCCACATTCCGTGCTCGGCAATTTAGCATTCTGCGTCCGGCTCGTGGAAGTGGGAGTGGGGGGGGGAGTGGGTTTTTGGACGTTTGCGCCCATTAAATGTGTGTTAGCTTTTTATTTGGCCCGAGAGTGTTGCAACAAAACTATGCAGCCATACAAGTTGTTGCCACTCTGGGGCCTGCCATCAACTCTATTTGCATAAAGTGTCTTTGCAGCGCCGCTGCCAGCTGTCCAATAAATTTCAGCTGCTCTGAGACATTTATCAAAATGGAAAAACTTAGCCGGCAGGTGCTCCGCCAGTTGCAGCTGCATCTGCGCACTGGAGAGCCAATCTTTAAGAATTAATTGTGTTACGAAAAAAATAGTTGCTCCTTGTCTCCAATTTGAAATAGCACGTTGATCCTCAAATAAAAATTCGCACTGTACGACTAAAGCCAAAATCGTGGGCTCGCGAAGGCCAACCAAGGCTTTGATTTCACCTCTCAAGCATGAGAGACAATTTACAACAGCCTTTTCTAACTAATATTCCAATTCAACTACAAGTATTAACATCTAGAAAAGCTTGACTAATTCCTTTAATCTAATTACTAACTATTAGCGTATAAAAAAGCACACTTAGTTCTGTTTTTACACGTTAGATTGGTTCCAGAAACAACCGTGTAGAAAAAGACATTAATTATATGCATAAATAGGCGATTGGTTCGTTATCTCTAAAGAAATATATGTGCAATTTTTAATTTTCAAACTGTCTTTCATGTAAAATCATGTAAAAAAGAACGTGTAAAAACAGAATTAGTTGTATTAAATATTTCCAAATGTGCCGAAGTGTTTCTAAATAGTTATAGAATTGTTTTTCCCCCCTTCTTTCTTAATTTCTTTCCTTTCTTTTGCATTTGAATTTGAACTCAACTGTCTGCTGTTAGCTTATTGTGAATAGATGTGGAATATCTGTTATTTAACAATGAACTGCTTGAACACTGCTTTTCAACAAACTATTAACTTATCCACTGCTTGTTTTAGCTGCATTGGCTGTGGTGAACTGTAGTTACCACATGGTGAGTTTAACTGCTTCATGTAAGCAGTTGAACTGCTTATCCGTTATTTTTAAATGTTAACTGAAAAATAAATAAATGAGGAAATGGAAACAGAAACGCTGAATTTGTTGGTTAAATCATCAGATAGACTCTTGAAATATTTGTAGAGAAAAATTTAGGGCGTTAACTGAAAAACAAATAAATGAGGAAATGGAAATAAAATGGTTTAATCAAATCAAAGTAAATGGAAGCAAAAAAAATCAGAATTTGTTGGTTAAATCATCAGAACACCTCTTAAAATATTCGTAGAAAACAATAAAGGGCGTTAACTGAAAAAGATGTACATGAGGAAATGCAAACCAAAAATCTGAATTAGTTAGTTTAAACATTAAATATTCGTAGAAACAATAAAGGGCGTTAACTGAAAAAGAAATACATGAGAAAATGGAAACAAGAAAGCTGAATTTGTTGCTTAAATCATCAGAAAAACTATTAAAATATCTATAAAAAAAAAAAACAATATAGCGCAGAACGAACAAAAAACTACAATTTAAAGATATCTTCTACACTACACTTCTACACTTAAACGAGGTGAGCCTTTTGCCTTACAAAAGTGTCAATATTTCTGCAACTCTGCAAAGCAAATCTTTTTGAAGTGATTTAAAATAATTAATAATAAAACCGGCTCTTAAAAGGAATTGGAAAAAGGCCCTTTCATACCTTCGTCTACATAAATAGTATCATCTATGGGCTCTTTGGTTACAAAAACTCGACATTTTAGCCAACACTGAGAAGTAGCTTGCCAGATTTTTTATTTTTTCTGCTTTTACTTTTCTAGCTCTTATTATATCTTTATTTTTTCAAGGCATTACAAGTTGTAAAATATTATTAAAGCATAGGCCTCTTTATTTTATACATCAGTCCTTTTGGATTCTGCCCCAAGTTGTTACTTTTTGTATAAAAGATGGCGACGAGAAGAGCTGTTTAAATGCGATTCAATTCTACATTTCTACATATTTATTAAAAAAGTTGGGTGTGATTTTTTTAACAGTGTATGGTTCCATTTAAAGCAACTTACCGTAATTTGACGAATTTGTGAGCTATTGGAATGCTGCTCTGCTTACAGAATTATTCAAATACCTACACTTTTGAAAATTGAAAACACATTTCCGTTATTTGTTTTCTCATACTGTTTATTCATGGAAATGAATTGGTTTGGGGGCTTTAGGGAGACGCAGCTTGTTATGCTGTGCGATCGCATAAGCCTCGTAAATAAATAGAGAATTTAAATAAATAATATAAATAGCTAAGCCTAGTCTCAAGTAGGTGTAGGTTTGTAAATTAATTTAAATTAATTTAATGGAGTCCAGTCGAATCAGTCGAATCTAGACCTCGTTGCACTCCAGATAGAGCTGGCGGCAATCGAAGCCGGAACGCCCCCTGCGCCCGGCATCGTACAGATGCTCGAAGCTGCTGTCGCTGGTCCGATCCAAGAGATAGCTGGTGGCATAGCTGCGTCGAAGGAGGGAAGAAGAAGGAGGGGAAATCAGATTGATATTCCAATTAGATGGCACTCTCAACTTACGATCCCAGCTGGCAGAAGATGCTGCTGCCGCCGATCTCACGCACGCAGTCCGTGTTGGCCTCGCACATGAAGCGCTGCATGCACTTGTCCTCCGCGTTCCGGTAGGTGCGAACGTAGCCCTTGAGGAGGGCGATGCTGGCGACGGCGGCGTCGCTGACCGAGTCGCGCTTGCCCAGCGAGCGAGCGGTGAGGGAGCGGTGCGAGAAGGAGGTCTTCAGGGCGTCCAGCAGATTCATCACGATCTGAATGAACTGTGTGCGAGGGGAGGAGGGCGGAACAGAACAGAACAGAGTTGAGAGCAAACATTGTGCGTAGCAGGCAGGCGGGCAGGCAGGCAGCCAGGCAGGAGGGGGGGAAACGTTAGGCGATTAGTTGTGCAAAAGAAACTCGACTGCCAATTCGCAATCAGAGCATTGTAAGAGTGTACGTGTGTGTGAGTGTATCTGTGTGTGTGTGTGTCTGTGTTCGAGTAATTTACAAAGCAATAAGTTTTTACCTCGCCAGCTTGCTTGGCCATTGAGTTGACTTGGTCTGGATCTCGGGTGCCCAACACGGACGACAGCACAGCCGCCAAGATGCCCTGCGTTTGCGTTTTTGAGTTTTCGGAATGTGTTTTGTTTTTCGTTTTTAATGCGTTTTTTTTTTTGTGTGTGTGTGGTTATAGCGAGAAACAACAACGAAAACAAGAGAAGAGGGAGAAAAGACCAAACACCAATGAGTACAAGTAGGCGGCACAAAAACAACAACAGCAAATAAAAGCGTTTAACAATCGAAAGCCAAACTAAAACAAAATCAACACGCAAGCGATCATCAGCTGCACGGGTCGAGAGAGCTGCGTGCGTGTCACGCGCAGTCACGATGCCATCGTTTCAGTTTCTTTTTCCTTTTCCTTTCTAACGTTGCAAACACAGTTCTGCTGACGAATACTTATCTATTTTTTATTTAAAAATAATCTGTTTTTAAATGCTACAAAATCTGAATCCGAATGGATTTTCCTATGTACAAGTTTAATTGAAGTTGTTGTAAATAATAGTATATTGTATATTATATATATTGTTGTAAATAATAACAGTATAAAGTTTTTCATTTATAAAAAAAATCTTTTAGATTGAAATTTTGCTACTAATGTTTAGCATTTCAAAACTAAATCTGCATAATCCCAAAGAAGACTCTATTTGTTTTAAAAAATATGAACACATACAAGCTTATATCTTTATTTGTTTTGCAAATGCGAATCAATTCTAAGCTTGTCTGTTAAGTCTAGTTTTTGTATTTTAAAGGCTTTTCAGCTTAGATACGAATATCTGAAGAATATATTTAATGTCATTAAGTAAAGTAGAATTTTTGAAAACTTATGAGCTTAGGTATGAATTTTTGAAGAATATTTAATATCATGAAGTAAAGCAGAATTTTTGAAAACTCTTGAATTTTTGAAGAATATATTTAATATCATTAAATAAACTAGAGCTTTTGAAAATCAACCAGCCCCATTCAACCTTTAAATTTTCCAATTATTTTTGCAAACTTTTACTATTAAGAGACCTTCAAGACCTTTCGGCTTGAGGCGTTCACTTTATGTACGACATGGCAGTTGTTAGATCAACATTTTTGTTCGGCACTCAACATACTCGTATAACATGTTGTGCATCGAAAACCTGTACAACTAATTCTGTTTTTACACGGTAGATCGGTTCCAGAAAAAGTCGTGTAAAAAAACGTGTAAAAAAGGATCTCGATCATTTGTTATTTTGAATCGTGCTTAATGGAATAAAATCATGCAACCGTATATTTTTAATTGTCAAATTAAATTAAATCGAACCGTTTAAAAAAAGAACGATTAAATACAGAATTAGGGATATTTCATTTTATAAAATTCTTTATAGCCATCTATTTCTACAATCATTATGATTTGTTCTGTCAATGAATAAATATATGGAATAAAGTCGCCCAACCATTTAGTTGTATAAGAATTTTAATTTTCAAACAGTGTTAATTCAAAATAGTGAAAAACAGAATTAGGTGTATTTCATTTTATAAAATTGTTTATAGTTATCTATCTCCAAAATTATTATGATTTGTTCTGCCAATTAGGTAGAAAATATCTTGTCTATTCAAAATATATTTCAGTCGCAGGGAATTCTTTTTAAGTTTCGTATTCGTGTAAAAAAAAAAAGAAACTGAAAGCCATACAATGTTTCTAATCTGTTAAGAATTGTTCATTTAAGCTGAATTCTAAATGCTGACTATTCCAGTTAACGATTTAATTCCCTGCTAAAAATCGATTGTTTTGATAAAGAAAGATTTTTGTAAACAAATCTTCTGCCTTTGCTGCTCTTCTTTGATAACTTCAAGAACTTTAAATATTTCCATCACAATTAAGAATCACGCACAGCTCTCTGGACCAACACGTGACTTATTTACACGCCGCGCTTGCGCCGTCGCTCTGCCCTCGACTTACCTGCATGGGGGAGCCGCCATTGTCGACCTTGTCGATGCCATCGCTGGGAGCGCCGCCACCGAGCAGGGTGTTGATGATGCGCAGACCTGTAATTGCAATTGCAAATGCGATTCTAATTAGCTGTGCACACACATGGAAAACATGTCCACTCACCCATAGAGATGACATTGGCCCAAGGACTGCCGCCCAGGCCGATGGAGTTGTCCACGTCGTCCGATTTGGTGGGCGCGTTGGTGGCGCCTTGGAAGAACATGGTCATGACCGTGGAGAGCATGTTGGACCAGGAGAAGCCGCTGGGGCCAGTCTCCTGGATCTGGTTGCCCTCGATGTCATCCTCGATGTCGTCGAGCGCGACCTTCTTCGAGGCGTTCGGCTTGACGGCAAACTTGCGGGCGCCGCTCTCGCCGCCCCGATAGACGGGCGAGGGCTGCTCCGCTCCCTGTCCGGCCAGCTGGCGCTGTCGTTGGTAGACCTCCTGCTGGGGATAGGCGTAGGTGAGCAGCAGACAGTTGCTGGCCACTATCGAGAGCAGCAGGTAGGCGTGCACTTTGCGCTGATTAAGCATGGCTGGAAAATGCGAATGCAAACAAGTTTGTGGCTTGAGTCTTTCGTTTCATCTGCAGTTTGTTGCCTTAATTGCAGGTATTTGTTATGCAAAGGGCGTGGCGGGCGTGGCAGGCGTGGCAGGCCTCCTCCTCCTCCACACCACGCCATAACACTTTCACATCGTCGTTGTGTAAATTAGTTTTTTGAACCTGCGCACGAATCGTACATTAAAAACAAAAAACACACACACACAGCAACAACAACAAAACTCTTGGCGGTTACATGAAATGTTTGACCCAAATGCGAGGCAGCACTTGCTTCGCCAGCTGGCTACTAATATTGTTAGACAAGTCACTAAATAAAACATTATTTTTGTGCAAGATCTATCTGCCTTCCCAAAATATGTGAGATCAAAACCGTGCAAAAACAGAATTAGGTGTATTTCATTTTATGAAATCTATTTCTAAAAATTGCTTGTCTTTCCAAAACATATTTCAGTCGCAGAGAATTCCATATATAGGTTTCCCATTCTGGCAAAAAAAACTGAATGCCTTACAATGTTTCGATTCTGATACGCGCTTTTCAGTTAAAAGGCTTTAAAAAAGTGCTGTTCTAGTTCTGAATTCCAAATGCTGATTATTCCAGCTAACGCTTTAATTCCCTGCCAAGTCAATAAATAAAACACGATCTATCTGCCTTCCCAAAATATGTGAAAAATGAATAATTCAGAATTTAGTATTTCAATTTTTAGATATAAGATAGAGGGACAATTGGAAAATATCATTAGAAACATCTTTGGTATCAGCTGGCAAAATGTTATTCCTCGTTATTTTCAGGTTAATTTCTGTAATAATTGTTTTAGAATATTCGCATATATGTATATGTATTGTCTAGTCCCGGTTATAAACACATCTATTAGTATAGCTGAAGGAATTGTTTTTCTTATAATTTAGTATAACTTTTAAATAGTCGTAGGTTTCGACAAAAAGACAATCATTTCTGCATTAAGCATAATTTTCTGTCATCAAATTTAAATTTTCATTTAATATAAAATAATGAATAACATTAAAGATTTGAATTCTGCATTTAACGCATTAATTACACTTAAATAAAAGAGTTGAGTAAACTTCTTGTTTCGTAATTTCTTAGCTAGGCTATGTTCACTTTTTTTAAGGCATTTAAATTAATTGATCTGCCTATAGGGGTACATATTTCTTTTATTTTTTATTACAATTTACTCATCATGTGCGCAATACTTCCCGAACAGGCTTTGTTTCTTTGGAGATACGAGCTAAATTTCCATTTCGCAACTGCAATCGATTCGCATAGGAAAGAAAATGTAACTAGCCTGGAGATTCTATGGAAAAATGAATATGAAAGTTGTTGTGTGTGAAATGAAGACGACACATGCATTTGCGACTCTACAGTCGACTGTGGGCTGGGAGGTGGTTGATAAAAACGACTTCCGAAATATAGAAACTAGTCTAACTGCTGGCAATTAATGCGCTCGCCCAGCCAGCCGGTTGGTCGGTCAAAGAAAACTCGTTCCCAGCTATTAGTGCTGCAAGTGCATCGAAAATGGCCAAGACGGTGGGAAGCCAGAGCCTCAGGTGATGGCTTCATTCAGAGAAAACCAGCAGGCCAGTGGGCAAGTGGCCGGTGTGTGGAAAGAAAGCTGCCGCCAAAGCCAAATTATAGCACGAAAATTATAAAGAGTGTGGAGGCAGTTTGGTGGACGAGAAGGCCACAGAAGAAGGCTTCCTGAAGACGTGCAAATATGCAGAGTATGTGGCCGTAATTGACAGTAAATGAAGAGATATTGTTTAAACAAATATGCGAGTATAACGTCTAGGTGCGCATGGAAATTAGCAAAGCGATAAGAGAGCCCAGAGGTGGGAAGACGCCTGACTCCATTGGCCAGAAGCCTCGGCTGTTACTGTGCTTCTCAAGCCTGCTGGCCAGCAGCTCCGAGAACCAGTTCAACTTGTCGTTAGCGGTTGTTTCTCAGATGTCATGCAACATGTTACCGTTAAATTAATAAACTCACACACAAGCACACACACAGAGAGAGAGAGGTAGCTAGAAGAATGCCAATGGATGGCCATGGGGCCTGCAAATGCATCGATTTCCATTTAATTGTTGTTGTGGTGTGTGTGTGTGGAAACAGGTAAGCAGAATAGGTCAACCTCTTCTATCTGGTTTTCTTGTGGAAATGTAAATCGATTCGCACAGATTAGACGCTGCGGGAACGGCCGCTCATTTATCTTCATCTTCATCTGCTCGAGCACGGCCTCTGCAGTTATGCCAATTCATTTTATTGTTTTGCGACACAATTCACAATTCTCTTCAAGCATCTGCGGCGTGAAGCGAGGCGAAGCGACTCTGCTCAATAATTATTGTGCATATGTAAATTTAGAAAGCTGTTAGAAACGTGCGCCATACACCAAAGCCAGAGGCCTACTGATCTTGGGACTGCAGGGGAATGGTGAGCGAGAAGGCCAGATTGACGCTATTCGCCAGTATTACAGGTTGATAATGAGAAACATGCGATATTTCCACATAGTTGTAATTAAAAACGGTCACTTTAAAGTAAATCTGTGAGTTTTCGGCAGAGTTGTTCATAACTTGTTTCCACTTCCATTGTAATGTGTAATGGCTGGCAACAGTTCTTTAGCCGAAAACGCTCTTATGGCTTTACTTTTTAATATGTCTGTATACTTATTAAGGTTGCGAGGTAAGGAATTAATACTGAAAATGAAACTGCTTATTAAAATAATCTCAACTACTTTAAACGTATTTCAGCTTCAAGTGAAATAAATCTTTACACTTCTTTATCCCTTTGTCAAATATTTTATATACTATTATTTAGGTAGAAATCACATCATTATCATAAATCGAATCTCCACTGCTTCTTACTTACAGTTGCACATTTGTTCTGCCTTTTAGACTAACACCAAATAGAACCTTAATGAGTTAAATATAGCGATAAAATTAATATAAATTATGCGACTACTATCTTAGAAAATTTCCACAAAAGTCTTACAAACTTGATATCGTTATGTTAAAAAATTAAATACATTTATGTTTAGCAATTAAGTTCATAGCAACAAAGAGTCAAAAGAATAAAAAGAAACCATTGCGTATAACTTTTAAAGTATTTTTGGTTATATTTAAAAAACAATACTAAACAAAGTTTTTCCTTAGCATTGCAATGTTTTAGGAAAACTACAAAGAAGCATTTGTATAATAGTAAAATAAACAGCTATAATTATTAACAAACAAATATAAATAAAGATTGAACATTTGCTGAATAATCAATAATTTTCCTATAATAACTATAGTAATATAAATATCCACTATTATTGCTTTCCCACCCATTCATAAAATATCTCAAAGAAGTCATAAGTTCAATAATTTAATCATAAATATGTTTCAAGGATGAAAAATGTCAAAAATTTAATAATAAGGCGCTTTGACAAATCTTAAGCTCCCCAAAAATACATTTTTTGTATTTTTCCTCCATTAAAAAAAGGTTTGCAAAAGTAATTAAAGTGTTTTCACTATTAAAAAATTAAAATTTAAAAAAATGTGCAACAAGATTTGACTCTTCTATGTCTTTCTATATGAAAACAATGCCTATAACTCATTGGAATAACTTGATTTGCTTCGCCGCGTTTCACAGCACAACATATAGTAATTAGATCGACCAGAAGCGCGATTACAAAACAAGTAGAAATAAAGTTTTCTTAGTACATCGAGAGCATCTTCCATCGTGATGAATAAACCGCTGGTGGATAAGCGTATGCCATAACTGTTGTGCAACTTAATTTGCTGCTGCTTAGCATGAACATTTACAGTTCTTTGCTACTCATTATGTTTACCGTTATGCACCAATGCACTGATGATATAGCCACTGCCTCCTCAATGTCGGACAGCATGTCCATTGATTACAAGCAACGAGAAGCTGAAGAAATTGCGATGCGAAGTCTGTCTTCGACACGCAACTTTTACTTTCGTGGCCTTGCACCAGAGAATTGCGAAAGCAGCGGCAGCAACAATTAAAATACATAAATACAACTATCTAATGGATATCCATTTAACGAAATAGCTTAATTTGTCTATGAGCCATGGCGGCGTGCAGTTAAGAAACTAACCGCACTTACAGGCCAAACACAATTACAAATGGCCAGAAAGTAGAAAGTGTGCGAGAAGAAGAAATACCAGGGTGGGATGAAGGGGGGGGGGGGGGGGGGGGGACAGAGCTACAGTTCTTTGTGAGAAATGGCCGAGCAATTTACTTATATTTTAGTGGCTTCAAAGGCGCATTTATTGTTGCCTCATTTCTCATTTTCCACACTTTTTGGACGCTTGAGTGAGCTCTCTGGTCAAAGGCAAGGCCGAGAAAGTGGAAACTACAGACTAGGCGTGATTTGCAGAGCCAACCAACCGAGCAGGCCACCCACAGTGGCTCAGAACGGTTTTCCAAAACTTTATAACCTTTGAGGCAAACAAAAAAAAAATTGTTAATTAATATACAAATTTCTAAATCTTTGCAGATATTTTTGTCAGTTTATTTTGCTTCAAACAAACAAGAAGCGACTTGATTCGTATTTTAGTGTTCAAAGATTTTAGCTTGTGTATAAATTAAGTATTTGAATTCTGTAGAACTGGCTCAGAAAGGTTTTCCAAAACTTTATAACCTTTGAGGCAAGCAACAAAATTGTCATTCAACATAAAAATTTCTAAATATTTGCAGATATTTTTATCAATTTATTTTGCTTCAAACAAACAAAAAGCGACTTGATGCGTATTTTAGTGTTCAAAGTTTTCAGCTATTCTTAATACTATACATTTATTATTTACATTCTGTAGAGATACAACATCAGAATTGGAACGATTTTAAAAATATGAGATTATTTTCTAGTTGTCTCAAATATTGCTGCAACCTTTTAAATGATAAATGATGTCAATAAATAAATGAGCGAACCACTGTGCGACCTCACGCAGTGTGCGAGTGAC